ACTCCATTATTTATCTATATTCTAGTCCCAACTCATGTACAACGAAGTAAAAACTAAAAAAGAATAATGTGATATTACATTTGGCATGTAAATTATTTATTGCATATCCAACGAAAACAAGTGTACAAAAATCTCCAAGTGCGGAGAAATAAAACCACCACAACCAGCATTCTTATAAAATCTACTTAAAATATACAGTCTCAAAAACACCAAAAAATAGCTTCAGGATTTGCATTGTCCGTAGCATTTTACAAAAATATTTTGAAACAAAGGAATAAAATGGCATTATATATACCTCTCCTTTTTCTCTATATAGGACCTTGTCCCTATTCTTATATGACAAAACTTATCAACTCTCTGTAATGTATACCACATCAATTTCAAAACTTAATCTCCAAGACAAAGAGTGAAAATCTCATTTTAATAAAATATACATACCATTACTACTAAGATTAGACACTTTATTGGTATAATCTTCTCACTTTATCAGCTCCCGTATCACCATAGGTAAAAGATTTATGTTTATTAATCTTAACAACAACTAAAACCATTAGACACCTTTGATATAATGTAGATATTTTTGAAATAGCCGACTATTGAATAAAGAAAAGCAGAAACTATGCCTCCTTAGAGAAAATGTGGAATTGACCGCATGTAAGAAACCTTCCTATTCTACCTGAGTCAACAATCTGCACTACTAACAAGTTCATCTCAACTTTAAAGAAAGTCACATTGATTGTAACTGTGGATCAAATTTACATACAAAACACAAACTTGTCATAAGAAAATCAATTTATTTTACTTTACCAAACCTGACAATTGCATACAGAAATGTAAATTAATAGACATAAATGCTCAATGTGGCAACAAGATGAAATCTACATGATTATAAATTATGATAAATGCTGTGAAGATTTTGTTAGCGACGCACTGTATGCAGGCCAATTATTGTGACTTACTGTCTCAACATCAAAAACCAATTAGTACAGCTTACATTCTCAACTTCAAACTCCAATTACTATGACTAGTTACTTCAAACGCAATCTTGGACCCCAGAACTACAATCCCTCATCAATTTCCATTCTCTCAAATAAACAGGTAGTCAATACAGACAAGACAACCACTTTTTCCTTCAATCAGAAATAATTAACAATTTCCAATATTCATTTTAAAAGTAACCTGATGAAGACAACTGAGTTTTTCTCCCAAAATTTGTCAGCTAGTAAAATAATGCTTACCATTTCTTGCAAACTCCCGTTCCTACACTAACTCTGGTCGACTCCAACTCCTACATTACCTTCCTCAATTCAATGCCATTATCTGGCAATATACAAGGAACGGCCACACGGGAAATAAAAACCATCCGCTGAACTCCAAGCATGCATTTACTCATTTTAAATTTTAGCATACAAAATATTCAATTAAAAAGCGAAACACAACAAAATTAGCAAGCTGTATCTACCAACAACATAAGTTCTGTTTCACAAGTTCCGGCTACTCCATACATGCAGATACTCTTCGTCCCCTACTTCCTCGAAATCAGTTCGTGCGAAAGCTCAACCAAAAAAACACAGATAGGAACCAACAACAACGTGTAGAAACCCTAACGGTTGAATCAACGCAAAAAAAAAAAACGAAAAATCAAAATCACAAAGCATCCTGTCAGCAGGGAACATCACTTCGAACTCCAAAATAAAAACCCTAGAAGTTGAACAAAATACGAATGAAACAACAGCAAACTCCAGAAAAAAGAAAATAAAAAAATCGATACATCGAAATATACCTTGGAACCTCACAATGGTGCTTGTTATTGGTTATGCGAATAGCACAGAGAAATTGGGAGAAGAATCGAAAGGCGTGTTAGAATTTGTTATAGTTGTGAGCTTCAAATCGAAGTTCGTACAAAGAAGCCATGGTGGAGGAGGAGGCACCGGTGTTTTGATCGGCAATGAATTGGACTAAGAAGCTTTTACTCTTTTGCCCATGGTTGTGCACTTTTGGAAAATTTAGAACCCGCGATTTGCAGGGGTGTTTTCGTCAGTGCATGTCATATACGGTATGACTGGCATTGAATTACATGTGATTATGCTATCATCAATAATGTACTACAAATACAGCCAATATAGTAATAGAATGTTAATAATAATAATACTTCTTATTCTTATAATAGTTTATTGTACAAAATTATTAAATACATTGTTATTATGATCAAGAATAACAATAACAATACCAATGTGAATTTTTGTTCATTCCAATTTATTGAAAACAATTTATGTTTATATTAATTAATAACAGTAACAATTTAGTCAATAGGTATTCCTTCCTAATAATAGGATTATTAAAAAAAATATTATCTTGAATAAGGCTTATATATAAAGTGAGCTAAATAATAACTTTAAAAATGAAGAAATAGCGTAAAAACATACAATAAATAAAATATTGTGACCTACTTATGAAGTTTTTTCGTCGAATTTCTCTTATAAAATACAATGCCACGAAGATAGTTTATATATTTATTTTAAAATACTAAATTATTTTGGATTGAGTCAAAATTGGTCTGTATCGTATATTCATACGATCTGTAAGTTATGGGACATAAATTTTTAATAGGTGTATGTTTGTATGATTTGGAGTTTGACATTAAAAACCTAAAAAAAATGATCAAGTATGTTTAAGACAAGTTAAATTGATCTAGAAAAAAATGTATGAATGAATGTTTTGTGAAGATCTTCTACCTCTAATCCGAAACAATATCAAATCCTACTTTTAATGCTATTTTGATCGTTAAAAATAAAATGCTATTATGAAATTTTAACAAATTGTCACGTTTTATATTTTATAACTTTCTTAACATGTTCTATCTTTTTGTTTTTAAATTATATATGTCACTTTATTAAAGCAATAAAAAGTCAAAAGACTTGTATACACAAGATGTATATCCTTAAGGGTGGTCCTATGCCTTCATGTTTTAGATTGTTTAAGAACTTTACACACTTCGTAATAAATGCATTTCATTTTACATTTCATCATAATTTAATGCTCTATTATTATTAAATACGCGATGAGTAGAAAATTTGAACTTGAACAAATATAAACATAACACTACCAAAAAGAACAAATATAAATAGAACACTACCATTTTTAAAACTTTGATCTAATTTAGTTTTATAATTTTAGAAATTGATCATAAATTTGTTTTTCTTAATCAAAATTTGCTACATTTATTTAGAGTTTCAAATGTGTTTCTAAGTTAATATTGTGCAAATAACTTAAATTTCATCATGAGACTGATTTGAAACGTCAAATAAACTTAACAAAATTTAGTTAAAATAATTAATTTATGTATTTTTAGAATTGAGAGACTAAATTAGATCAAAGTTTCAATGATCTTTTACTATGACTATAATGTAAATGTGGAGATAAAATAGTTTTATGTTTGTTCTTGGTTAGATCGTATTAATATTTGATTATACTAGACTAACATCAAGTTATAACTAAATCATGAAAGAAGTTTTGGATACAGGAAGCTAGTCATTTTTGGATATTTTGAATACTAAGAAACTAGTTTTTCTGACGTAACAAATATATTAAATAGTAAAATCCAACAAGATTAAGTTATGTGAACCTAAAGTAGGTAAAAATACCTTAAACCATACTTGTGCTGTAAATATTTATATATTAACAATATATGTGAATAAATGTCGATAATTTGATTATATTATAATATTACATATTTACAAAAATATTTGATATATTAGATAATATGATACATTGTAATGATTGTTTTGTTAATTATTATATATGTAATAATAATTTCTTATTGATTTGATATATCATATTGATATTGCGTATTATATCACATAGTTAAGAATCTAAAAGCTCTATAAAATACAACTGATATTTCATTAAAAATATACTTATTCACTCTCTTCTACTCTAAAGGTTCAAAACTCTATTATTAACTTGAATATAAAAAAAAAATTGTAGACGATTTATGATTGTGTTCAAGTCCAGAGAACATCACACTGGAGTGTCCATAAAAACAACATCTAAATTTATATTTGTAAATAAAAAATATTAAAAAAATAATTAATAAGCATATTTAGTAATATTCCACCATAAATAATTTTACACAACAAAGTATTGAAAAAACTAATTATATAACCTGCCGATGTGACAAATCACCCATACTTTATCCACATGAAATGGAAGTTATGCAAGTGGATAGACATGTGGAGATGACACACTTATATTCTCAGTATGTCTTCTACTCTTTTTTATGGCACACTGCATGTCAACCCATATGACAGGTTTAACATTACCATCTACACATCATAGTTTCTGAATTGACCAAAGTGGACACGTAAGAACCATCTTTTATTTCCAGAGAAAAAAAATTGAAAAATGAAAAAAAAAAACTGGGATTTAAAAACCTACCACCATGTGTTAGAAAGAAGAGAATAATCCGAGGAAGGGATTCTGTTGTATCTAAGTAAAAGTAAGAGTAGATAGATAGAACAGTCTCATCTAAGAAATTAAGAATGCTTTTCACCAACATGATAAGAAACATAAACACACTAAAAAATTGAAATGTGAAAATGTTTATTTCAAGCACCTAAATCTCACAACTTATTTAAAAAGGGATGTTTTGTTTATGCTGCTGATAATAGATTTTCTCAGTAATTAAGATTATAGAATGTAACATAAACGAAGGAGGAACAAAAGTCGCTCTTTCCTTTCTCAAATCCTCTGCTCTGCAACGTGTTTTCAAACCCAGAAAATTCCAAAACAAAAACAAAAACTGCTCTTCCACGTATTTTTTGTCCGAGCCAACACAACCGCGTAAAAAACCACGCTTCCCAAAACGCATATTATGATTGTTTTATGCTTCCCAAATCCAAAAACCTAAGGTCAGAGTCAGCGTCAAAGTACCCCCACCATCCCCACATCGCGTTCACACTTCACCACACGCTACCTCTCCCCTCTATAAATAAACCCCACAAACGTAAAAGCTCAAGCGTTCACACTTCTAAAAAAACCGTAACAACCAAATCCAAACACTACACCATCATCCATGGGAATCAGCCCCGTCCCGTTTTTCGCTCAGGAAGACTACTCACACTTCTACAACCTATTTGCAGACACAGACACCAACAAGAGAAAGCGTAACAGTAAAGAAGACGAAGGAGGAGGTGCAGAACAAAATGGTGATAGTGGTATCGTCAAGGACTTACTTGCTTCGCTCATGCTTTTGGAAGAGGAAGAAACCAGAGAGCAGCAAAACAGAATGCTTGAGTCCCAACAACAACGCGACATGTTAAAAGCCAGCTTCCAGAACCAGGCCAGGGCCATGGAAACCTACAAGGCCCAATTCGAAGCCCATTACGCCCAATCGGAAGACCTCCAAATTAAAATAACCAAAAAGGCCCGTCGCACGGCTGCTGCAGCTGCCGGTTCGGTTATTCTAGACGAGGCCGGTTCGGTTCGAGCCGAGGTTCCTCCTCAAACCGGTTCGACGGTTCAGCGGAGGATGTGGGTGAGGGACCGGTCGAAGGACTGGTGGGAGCGGATCAGCCGGGAGGACTTCCCGGAGGAGGAGTTCCGGCGGTGGTTCCGGATGAGCAGAAGCACGTTCGACATGATCTGCGACGAGCTCGACGCGGTGGTGACGAAGAAAAACACGATGCTCCGCGACGCGATTCCGGTGAGGCAGCGCGTGGCCGTCTGCATCTGGCGCCTGGCCACTGGCGACCCACTCCGGGAGGTGTCGAAAAGGTTCGGGTTGGGGATATCCACGTGTCACAAACTCGTGCTCGAAGTGTGCTACGCGATACGCACCGTTTTGATGCCGAAGTTTCTGCAGTGGCCGAGCGAGGAAAAGATGAAGCGCATCAAGGAAGAGTTCGAGGGGTTGTCGGGAATACAGAACGTGGGAGGCGCAATGTACACGACGCACGTGCCAATAATCGCTCCGAAAATAAGCGTGTCGGCGTATTTTAACAAGCGGCACACGGAGCGGAACCAGAAAACGAGTTACTCGGTAACGGTTCAGGGCGTGGTTGATTCGAGAGGTGTTTTCAGCGACGTGTGCATTGGTTGGCCGGGTTCGATGCCCGACGATGAGGTTCTGGAGAAAAGCGCGTTGTTTCAGAGAGCCAACAGTGGGAATTTGAGGGACGTTTGGATCGTGGGAAACTCTGGGCACCCTCTGATGGACTGGGTGCTGGTTCCCTACACGCACCCTAACCTGACGTGGACGCAGCACGCTTTTAACGAGAAGATTGAGGAGATTCAGGGCACTGCCAAACGGGCCTTTGCGAAGCTAAAAGCGCGGTGGGGGTGTTTGCAGAAGAGGACTGAGGTGAAGCTTCAGGACTTGCCGGTGGTGCTAGGCGCGTGCTGTGTTCTGCATAACATTTGTGAGATGAGGAATGAAGAGATGGATGGTGAGTGGGGGTTTGAGCTTTTTGACGACGAGATGGTGCCGGAGAACTCCATTCGCTCTGCAACTTCCATGCAGGCCAGAGACCACATTGCCCACCATTTGCTCCACCATGCTCGCGCCGGCACTGCCTTCTTGTAACTCTACCTTCTTCTTCTTCTTCTACTACCTTATTCTTTTTGGCTATGTTGCAGTAGTCACGTTAATTAACAAAGAGAGAAGCATATTAATTTCATTCATTAGATTCTGGAATAATAGGTAGATTGTATAGAGAATTTTTGTCTCAAAAATATAACTAAGAACATGTTTTAGAGTATAATATTTCTTTCAGCGGTTTCATGGATTACTGCTACCATGTACTCCAAGTTGATGCCACCGCGTTTCTGTTTTGCTGTGTGACCCACAACCTCTGAACCAAAAAGATTCGATTTCTGTTTTTGACTATGAAGTCTTGTTGGGACTTCCATTGGCGTGACTCATCACTCATTAGTTTTAAAATAATGTCATAAAATAAGATTCGTAAAATAAAAAATGAGAACTGTACCATACATACTCGGTTGGTCGCTGAACTAGCTTAAGTGGCGGCCTTTCTTCAATTTTTTTTACTGTGTTCACTTTTTCTCGCTCACTGCATTCAAATTTTTTTTTTCTTTCGATTTCGGTTCTTCCATATATTGTTAGACAGTGTGCATGAAGACCCGCTACATATTGATTTACTCGATCATTCATCCTTTCATTCGAATGAGTAATAATCATGTACTATACGGACCGGACAGTCCAGAAAGAGTAGCATTGAATTGACCTAACTCGACGGTTGTATAAGATCAGCCGGTGGGTGACCTGGGTTGTTAAGACCATGATTAAGATAAATAGTGATTAGAGTCATTGGGTTAGAATTGGATCATGATTAACTTTTTACTAATCCCAAACCCATGACAAGAACTATAAATACAGATCAAAGGTAAGTTGTAGATATGTTGTATTTATTGAACATTTATTACTGTTCTATTGAACTGCCAAACGGTTCGACTTTGGTATCGGAGGATCTTTGAGAGGTTTCCTTCAGACGGAAGAGTAAGACAACGAAGCTTAAAGCAACACCGGACGACAAGAAAACAAATTGTGAAGGAGTTTGGTGACTCAGCTCCATAACCGAAACAAGAACAATATTAGTATAATTAACCGAAACAAAAACAATAATAGTATAATTAACCAAAACAAGAACAATAATAATATAATTAACCGAAACAATAACAATAATAGTATAATTAATATGTACATTGGATATTGTCGCCGATGAAAGTTTTGGCTTCAGTTCAGCATATTGAATAATTAATTAGCTTCTTCCAGTCTTTGACTAATATAGAATGGCCTCTACAAACAAAGTATGTTAATATAGTTTTTAGAAATGGAAAGTTGTTTGTACAAGTGGTTGAAACTTGTGTTTATTAAATTATGTTTATTTTTCAGGTTAAGAATAATCTTCACTACAAATATAGTTGACTTCTGAGAGGAAAACTGTAGAGTGCTAAATAAACTCAAATTTATAAAGAAAATAGATTTTTGGCTATATAATTTTTGGTATATATTAGGTATGTTAGAAGATTAAAATTAAAAGATGACTATATAATTTTTGGCTATGAGACGAGTATTGAAAAGACAGTATCTAAATGTATAATTTATTATAAGCCAATGTTTTGTGTGTGGTGACATCTTTCTATCATCTTATTTCAATTGAAACAATTCATCCTTTCCATGATCCCATTTTTAATTGAAACAAATGTAAGTAAAAAATCATATTTCCATTAACGTTAAATCCACAAATAATGAAAATGAATGTAAAGGAAGTAAAGGAAACATAACAAACAACTTAATCAACTAAGGGAGAGAGAGTGTGAAATTGTTATATATATTCTTAAAAAAATTGTATTAAAAGAAAACAATGTGTAATCTGAATATATAGGTAAACTTTGTAAATTTTAATCAATTCAAACAATTGAAATAGAATAAAAAAATAATAATTTTGTAAAAAATAAGAAAAAAAAGTTTGTAGAATTAAGAACAAGGGATAATTAATAGATATAATTTTTAAAATTACCTAATAAATAATAAACAATTTTCTAATTTAAAGCAACATATAAAGAGACGAACGGTGAAAGAACAAAGACAAAAAAAAAGTAAATACTCAATATCTTACAACAAGGGAAAAACAATAAGTACATGAGAGTTAAAATTTTTATAATAAAGAAAGAGTGATGGTTTATAAAGTAAATATCATTAAAAAATAATAAATAGAGATGATAGACCTTTATTTTTATTAAAATTTAAGAATATAATTAAGTATTAAAAATAACAAAACAATAACAAATAATAATCAACATGTTCAAACAAGGAGATTTAATTATAATAGATAAATATAATCACCGAGCTCTTTTATAATAAAAGAAAATTTAAAAATCTTGGGTATAGAAAGAAATAGGAATAAATAATGATGAGAAATATACGGCAGAATATTGGCACAGAGCAGCACCTGAAAAAGGTGAATCCTACTGCGTGGGCCTCGGATACATCGAAATCACGGTTTGTTCCAAACTCTTCATTGCTCAACACTTGTCGGACACATACCCCTCCCTGTTCTTCGTAATTGTTAAAAGGGTCTCTTAATTTGTGTTCCCTGTCACAACCATCACAATTCACAAACCACAGAGAAAAGAGAGGGAAGAAAGGAGAATAACATTGATAATAATATTAATACTAATATTAATAATATAAAAAAAGGTGAATAGTTGAGAAAGAGGAGTTGGGAGCATGGAGAATCACAAGATGGTAGCATCGGTGTCTGTTAAGGAGGAGATAGACAATAACCTTGCGGTGCAGGAAGAGGAAGATGTAGCAGATGTGGGTTCCAGCATGACCTTGGAAAGGGTCGCTGCAGCTAAGAAATTCATTGAGGACCATTACAGGTCTCAGATGAAACTCATCCAACAACGCAAAGAGAGGTATGAATACAAAATCTTATGGTAACATCGTTTCTGTTTCGTTATGTGTTGTCTGGAGTCTCTTTATTCTTTCTATTTTGGGTCTTGCTTTGGAAATGCCCTTTTACTGTGATGATTTTCTGTAGACAATTCTGTTTGAGTGGATAGGACCAGACCAGACCATTGTATATGACAATTTGACAAAGTTTTGTTGTTGGGTTTCTTAATTATCAATGTAAATTTGTTTATCACAATAAGGTAATGTGTATGTTTTTGTGGAAGCTTTGGCTGTTTGTTAAATGGTTGCATTGCATCTTTAGGGTGTGATATCTAAATGGTTTTGTTGATAAAATATCTTTTACAAGGAATCAATCGTACAGAGCATTTATTTTATCATATTGTATGAATGGGCTGGATGAGAGTGAAGCTTTTCTCTGGGATTTGCATTTTTTTTTTCCTTTTCAAAGAAAAAGGTAAATTGTTTTCTGAACACTTTATCGTTGATTCTGAAGAGTATTTAAGCTTTTCCTTCTCACCATGCTCTTGGTACCACAAAATGTTCATGTATCGATTGAAAGGGCTTTTACATAATTTTAGTTTCAGGGTGTCATATGCTATTTTGTAAATGATTAGTGTGGTTCATGCTTGTGCTTAGTTATGTGTTTCATGGCCCTTTGGCAGAGTCTTAGTTCTGACAGATAAATGTACTTGCACCCAAACACAGGAGGCTTGCAATTGTTTCTTAATTCATTGACAGAGACACTCTGGTACATGCACACAAAAACTTGAATTTAGTTATTGATGTATACTTTCATACGAAGCTTCATTTTTCATTCAAGTTATTTCTTTTTAGTAGAGTAGTCATTCTCAATGAAGGGAATTACATTTAACTAGTCATCTTCTTTCTCTTTCTAATTTTTAAAGTATATTAGTAAGTTATGGGCATAATTTTAAAATTTGCAGGCGTTTAGAGCTAGAACAGAAGTTAGCATCTGCTCATGTACCAGAAGAGGAACAGATCAATCAATTGAAGGATTTAGAGACCAAGGAAACGGAGTTTATGCGGTTAAAAAGACACAAAATATGTGTTGAAGATTTTGAACTTCTAACCATTATTGGGAGGGGAGCCTTTGGGGAGGTAGAAATATATATCATCATATTAGATAGCTCCTTTGGTTTTTTTATGTGTTGATGTTTAAACATGGTATTCTGTGTATGTTGGCAATCTGGATAGTGTATGATACCCAATTAAAAATTTTGGAATCATAACAAATAAAATGCTTGCCATACGGTTCTCGTTGTTGAAAGAGCTAACCCTTTTTTATGTGTATCCTTTGTTTATTTCTGAACAATCTATCTTCCTAAGAATATAACTTTCAGTTATGGATTTAGATTATTGATATAGGAAAATAAATAAGAAAACTACGTTGATTAATAAGGAAGCTACGTGATGGCTAATCAAAATTAATCTAATTGATATTCAGAATTAAATTGATTGACTGTGACGTAGTTTCCTTATTAATTCATATAGCATAATTATTTATCTTCCTATATCAATTTAGGATGAGGGACTAGCTGCAGGGTGAAAACATCCATGTGAGTTAATTTTTAAGTAAATGCATTTTGTATATAGCAATGTATCCAATTACTCTTCAGCTTGTACTTTGTTTGGGTTCAATTTTTTCTACATTTCATAAAATAGAAAGTCATGATCGTATAATGGTGTTTCATCCCTCATGCAATTTGTTTTTCTTCATCTTTTTTATCCTCTCAATAAAAAGAAATCACTTAGTTTGGACAGACTGAAAGACTATGGTGGTGACAATGATGCCAACATTGTTCTCTAATATTAGGATTCCAAGTGAGTTTGTGTCCTACATTGAGTAGGAATGAACAACATATAAGAAAGAAGACTCAAACTTATTGTCTTAAAATGTTGGATTAGAGGTGGTGTTTTGGTCTCTTATATGGAATGTTCATGACACTGTTGCCGAATCCCTTTAGGTATATTTATTATTTAAAGAGAGCTTGTTGGACATGTAATACAATTGTGTTACACTTGGGCATATTACCTGACTTGATGGTAAAAGTGGAAGGAAGTGAGGGAAATAATATTTAAGGCTTCTCTGCCTAGGCTTGGATACCATACTAGATAACAGAAGAGATCATGGAGAAAAGATATGTTTGAATACTCTATTTATTTTACTAAGTACTATGGAAATACAAGGTAATTAAGATATGCAAAGTAGGAAGAAAGAAAAAAAGAAAAATACTCCTATACATAAAGGTCTACAGTTGTATGGACATTGAAATTGATGGGACCTTGGGTTTTATGAGGTGCCCAAGTCTTACATTGAGTAGTCTGGAATGCTTGTTGGAGTTCTTGAGTGGTGTGGTCCTCCCCCTTGACAACTAGTTTTTAAGGGAGGGTTCCCCAAGTACTCGGATAAATGTAATGGTCTCAAAAAGAGCTACCATGCATCCACTACAACATTAACTCTGAAGGGTGGTGCTATGGTAAAGACTTGAGTAGTATGGAATGGTTGGTAGAGTACATAAGTCACCTCATTGTCCCCTTTTGACAACTAGCTTTAGAAAGAGGATTCCCCAAATACTAATATAAAAGACTCAATTTTGTGTCAAATAAATTATGTGAGTGAGGATCTTATGAACTCCAATTTTCATTGGGACAGGAAAATAAGTTATTATTATTATTTTAGAAATCTTTCTGTTAAATGATATCATGTTAAAACAACACAAATGAAAACTGTGTTTCAGCAAAAAAGTTATAATTTCTTTATGCTTTTTCCCTACCTCAATACATTTAGGATTCTCAGAATATGACAGCTAATCATGGATGGTAGAAATAAAATGTAGATTCCTTACTAGTTATTATATGAACAAAATGGTGGTTTGAATTGACTTTTGATTATACTTTTACCAAATAGTTTTTGTTTAAGTTCTTCCTTTTCTATTTTGTGTCATTCAACTATCTTATTCTTATCTTTCCTTTTCTTCTAAGAGTTAATCTTTGATTATGTACGGTAGTCATAAGTAATGTGTGGTTTTGGATTGTCTTTTTACTTTTGTTTGTATACCTCTGCCATTGAAAAGGTGTTAATTATTACACATGCTTTCACAGGTAACACTCTGTCGGGAAAAAACATCAGGTAATATATATGCCATGAAAAAGTTGAAAAAATCTGAAATGCTCAGCAGGGGACAGGTGAGTCTTGATAGTTTCTTTGGTTGAATATGAAAGTTTGTCATTTCCATATTTCAAGTTATTATTTAGAGAAAAGAAATTTATTTTTGCTATTATTTTCTAAATTTCACCATCTAATTTTTATATTGTCTAATTTATGGTTTCATTTCCATTATAGGTTGAGCATGTTAGAGCTGAAAGGAATGTACTTGCAGAAGTTGCCAGTGACTGCATTGTGAAACTCTATTACTCTTTTCAAGATGATGAACACTTATATCTCATAATGGAATATTTGCCCGGTGGTGATATAATGACTTTGTTGATGCGGGAAGAAACTTTGACTGAAACTGTGGCTAGATTTTACATTGCCCAGAGTGTTTTGGCCATAGAATCTATTCATAAACATAACTACATCCACAGGTTGGCACTTTTACATCTTAAAATTATAATCTTGTTATAAATCATAATTTTCTTTCTTACGCTTCTTCCTGTTCCCCCAGAGATATAAAACCTGACAACCTTCTATTGGACAAAAACGGTCACATGAAGCTATCAGATTTTGGTCTGTGCAAGCCACTTGACTGCTCAAGCCTATCATCTATTCATGAAATGCAGATCCTCGATGATGGGAACTTATATGATACCATGGATGTTGATGGAGCCTTGCCAAATGGCAGAAATGGTAGGCGCTGGAAAAGTCCCTTGGAACAACTACAACATTGGCAAATTAATAGGAGGAAGCTGGTAATTGTCTTCTGCCCCTGCACTCAGAGGTTATTTGATGCTTGGCTGGTTCTTACTTTTTATTTCTTACAAATTCATAATACCAATATGACACTATACAATACTAAAATGATAGTACATTTAACTTAGAGGTAGTTAAACATGTGCCATCTATTGTCTGAGCATACCAATCCCATGGCAGCAACATTCTTGAAGAACTTAGTCCAATAAGTAGAATTGTAGATCAATGTAAAGAATGAAAAAGTTTGTAATTGTTTACTTTGCACTAAGATGGTAAAATTCTTAGCTCTTTAACTACATAGACGTGTCATGTTTCTCACTAATGGTCAATGAATATTTGTGGTAATTGTTGGTTATCTCATTGGTGCATGAAATGTTGATTTCAATTGCATATCCTTCTTCAGCTTATCTATTTGTTTCATGGCAGGCATTTTCCACTGTTGGAACTCCAGACTATATTGCCCCTGAAGTATTACTGAAAAAGGGTTACAGTGTGGAGTGTGACTGGTTTGTTTTTATATTTTTCATTTTCTGTCACTTGAGTTGCATCTATCCATTTCCTGTGATAATAGTTTTGTCATTTTGAAGTGAATGCATACGATCACTTTGCTTTACCTTTTTCTTGAATGATTAGGAGTAGTATAAAAGCTCAAGGTTCCAAATTTTCTATCCAGACATTAGAGACCCTAGAATAAATTGTTCTAGAATAGCTAAATGTGTCAAGCACTATACTGTTTTGCTATGTAGCATAGTTAAACAAATTGAAGAAATTTAAACCAGAGTGCAATCAATGAAACTCCTTACGATGTATGTAGGGTAAAATTTTGATAACTTTAATTGTTTAGTAGCCCCTTTTTTTCTAGTCTTATTTAAAGTCAAAATAGTTGAGAAAGGGAACTTCTCTGACCAGTTTTAAGTTGTCATGACATTTTGGATTTAATGTGCGTATTTCAATCAGTAAACTTGAATTTGGAGTTACCCATTTCAAATTATTAGAAGCACCAGATAGATCCTTTTAGAATATTCATCTATAACTTTATATTTGATCCTGTCAAGATGTCGGACATGGGCCAAGAATATAGCCAAAGTTATCCCTAAAGTTGGATTTTGAGATTGAGTCAGGCCTTGTCTATTTCTTATAGATCCAATGAGTTGATCATATTCCTTCAAAGGATACTACATGGTGGCATATAATTGCAGTTATGACAGTGCTTGTTCAGTTGACTGTCCAAATCTTATATCAAAGGCATAATGATTTTAGATCCTGTTTAGCTTGTAAGATATTTTCTATATATTCTTCTGTTCTTCAAGAGAAGACTAGCAGAGCATTTTGTAATTAATCTATTTTATTATTGAAAAATAATGTTTTACTGGTTTTAACCTTACACTATTATTGTTTATAGTTCTTTTTACCCGAAGAAAACTATGGTTCCAATGTAAATTATATTTGCTTAAAGAGAAATGGCATCCTTTATGATGAAATATCTTCCTTGTTGACAGAGTTCTAACTTGCTGCAGGTGGTCTCTTGGTGCTATACTGTATGAAATGCTAGTTGGATATCCTCCATTTTACTCTGATGATCCTGTAACAACATGCAGAAAGGTGAGAAAACTGTGCACATACTAAAGAGCTTGCATCTGCTGTATGGTTCTTATTTTCGTAGTCTAGTGATATTTAGGTATTGCACATTTCAATGAATATTTATAATTCATAGAGAAACTCTAATAATGGGTACTTTGTCTTTCTGATTATTTAATACCTATTTTGTATACATCCTTATTATCACCATAATTTGTCACAGGGCTCACTATTTTAGTATTAAGTGCCCTATTTTTCAAAAGCACTAACATAACTGTTGAAATTATATCTACTTCTTTTTCCTTGGTGATGAGTATCTTCAGATCGTGAACTGGAAAAATCACTTGAAATTTCCAGAGGAGGCCAGATTGACACCTGAAGCCAAGGATCTAATATGCAGGTTGCTTTGTGGTGTTTCACATAGACTTGGCACTAATGGAGCAGATGAAATTAAAGTGTGTAAAATGTTTTTTTCTTTCTCCTGTAATACTCTATTGTTAAGTCATAATATTCCTTGATAATATTACTGGTTTTTAATTGATCAGGCTCATCCTTGGTTCAGAGATGTCGTATGGGACAGGCTCTATGAAACGGAGGCAGCATTTAAACCACAAGTCTTTGGAGAGCTTGACACTCAGAATTTTATGAAATTCGATGAAGTAAGACGTTACGATTTGGCAATGCTTCTTTTCTTCTTTGTCACAATAGATGCAGTGAGAATAAGCTTCTCACTTATTCTTTCATATATAGATGTCCATTTTAGTTGCTGGAATTCTGACATTATTGTAATTAATTGTGCTTACAGGTTGAACAACCAAAACCAGCTAGATCTGGATCTGGACCCTTCAGAAAGGTAGAAGCTTTACTTACTTGAAAGAATAAGATTTTTCAGACAGAGTAAATTAACTTGCCTCTGATGTTTGCTTTTATGTATTATTCAATTGAAAAAGGAAAGTTTTATCTTTACAATATTTATGTCATCATCATAATCATTGGACCCTCCAACATTAAAACTGTAGATACTCCAATTTTCGTTCAATTGAGATTCAAGAATAACTGCATGAATATATATCTATGGAACTTGCATATAACATTTAGTCTCAATTAATCATTGTAATACTGTTTTAATTCTCAAGGTTACAGTGCAATTTTTCTCTCTCTAAAGATATGGCATGTTTTCAAGGTTGATGATACTTCAGGAAAAAAAAAACTATCATTTGCTTCACACGGCTTTCCATTAATTCAAAAGCACCTACACATTCTTATGTTTATTTCATCAGTTGTAGTTGTTTACCCTGGTCAAAATTTGTCCAAGGATAAATATACATCGTTCTATGTTCTTTCCTTACAGTTTTTTGTATCCTCTTTGTTAACAGAAACTCTTAACTTCTCAAGATCTCAGTTTTGTTGGCTATACATATAAGAACTTTGCTGCTGTCAAGGGGATGCGTCAATCTAATGGTAGGTATTGTTTTCCTTGAAGTATAATTCTACAACATCAATTCATAATGCTGCATTGTCTATGTAGGAGATCGGTTGATTAATCTTCTCTGCCTAAAATCACTATTGGATTTACAAGTATCGTGCATTGTGATATGCTTTTGAGACCTCAAACATAAATATTAAATAACAAACTAGTGTATGAACATGAAACTATTAGAATAATCCTTCTTTTTAACTGTTACTCAGTTTTCATAAAGCTGTTTTTTTTTACGTATTATCTGGAAGGGTCATTGGCTCGTTCTGGTTCTAGACCTAGCCTCACCTCCCTCTTTCTCCTAGAAAAGGTACTTCGTTCTTTATTCACAAAATTGCTTCTGCAGTCTCTGTTGTCTTTCTCTTGAACTACCAATGTTACAACAGAATAACTAAAGGGCAAATATTATCTATCCAAAAGTTATCCAAAATCTCAAGTTCAATACCTAAATCTAATGGTAGTTAGTAGAGAGTGGTCAACCTCTTTTGCCCATCATAAGGAAGCCAATTGTATAGCAAGCTATCTTGTAAAATATGGGGTTCAAGACCTTATTCTTCTTTGTATTACAGACATGACTACCCCAACCATTGTCTCCTGCCTATTGAGGGACAAGTTGGGCTAGTTCTGTACTCACTTTTCCTTGTCTGTTTGAAGTGTGATATTAAGGAGAACTTCGCATTACAAAATTAGTTCGTGAGGTTTACACTAATTTTATTTATTTTATATACTATAATTTGACAAGGTAAGGTTTATTCTCATTTTATATTCTATAATTTGATGTTAGATCTCCAATACATTGATTAACGCAAAGGACATGACATCTCAAATATAGGACTAAATATTTGTGAATGGTCCGGTAAGGAGAGACATGATAACTTTAACAAACTTTGCTATGATAGATTTGACACCATTTTAGGATGTAAACTTTAAATCTTACTCAATTTCTAAAAATTGATTTGTAAAATGAAATTTACTCCTACTTACATATTATAATTTGGTTATATTTATAATTTATGGAAGACCTTCAACACTTTCTAGAGAATAAAAAAAGTCAGACTCAAGTCCTGGAATTCAGATACACATTGTCCAGGTGACATTCAACTTAGTAAATATTTGTAGACAATTATTGTTTGCACCCTAATAATTTCTTCTTACACCTTTTACTTTTTAGATTGACTATTCTAGAATGTGATCTCCAGATTAGCCAATCGAAAAGATAAAAAAAAATTGGGTTGGTACAAGAAGAATTCATTAGTGTGCATAGCATTTTCCATATAAGACTAGTAATATTGAGATTTGTTAAGGCTTAGGCTACTGCTATAAATTGTAAGAGGGGAACAGCTGTACAACCAGTTAGAAATTTTGCATTGTTGTCGTTTCCTTGATTCTTTGGGGTAATCCAATAGGAAATTAGTCAAGAATTCCTAAGAAGGTTCAATGTATTTCGTTATGAGTTATGACTTCTGCGAATGATTGCTTTATTGTAAGCGTTTCTGACAGCTATAGCCTTTGAATCTGAACTAAGTTAATAAGAAGAAAACAAGTTAGAATTATAAGTAGAATCTTTATGCCTTTAAGTTTTAGATGATTGCTCATTCGATATTCGGTTGTAAACTTGCAATGGTTTAAAAACATAAAAAATCTTAAGGTAATATGTCATACATTGTGCTCATCACTAAATCTTACAGAAAGATTAGTGCTTCCATCTGAATGCTTTTTCTTTCAATAGATATTAACTTTGGTCCCCTACGAGTATGTTGAGAGGTGAGTTTTTGAGGTAAATCGGGCGGGGGATTACTAATAAATATGTACTTCAATTGATTCTTTAAAAAAAGGACAATCTATCATAAATTATGTTCTTTTAATTTACGAATAAAAAGTTATCTTGTGTTACATTCCTCCAAACACACCCTAGAGAATACTCAATTACACTGGGGTCCCCTGCTTATTGCAACATCAAGGACTTCAATATCATCAAAATCAAATTGGAGCTCACGTAAATGAAATTTCACAACTATGCGGACTTGTATTATTGTGATATAGTCAAACAGGAATTGCTGCTACGTTGAGCTATTTATTGGCTTCCAAATTCCAAAAGTTTTGCTATTAACAGCAATGGCATATTCAACATGCATTTTCATTTCATTTCATCATATACATATTTTATAGCTGATAAAGATTATAATCACTTTTGTGGAACCTGATACAGATCCAGGTAGCATGTCACCACAGCGAACATCCATTGACTCCACACACAGTAATGGATCTAACCATGACAACTACTAGTTTACACTTCAGTTAAAACTGTTCTAACTGAACTGTTTGCTCTAGGTGATTCGGCGGTAAACTATTCCAACTGAATGGACATCACAAAATCATAGATGGTTGCATCCTCTGGTAACACCTCTTCTCATGCGAACAATGACCCTAATTTTTTTCATTTCAATTTTCATGTATAGACCTGTGTAGAAAATTAATGAGCATGGTGATGGACAAGCCTGCTTATTTTTCAACCCAAGATTACCTTACCTTTAGTGCCAACAACCACCTATCATGCATAAATTAGTGTACAGGGATATCTGCATCACTAGTGACTCCATATGTGAAAGTTTTGAAGTTAAAAGTATGTGTAATCGTAAACTTGTCACTCGGTCTTGACCACTTGTGCCGAGGTTAGCAAAGAAACACGTGCCATCACTTGTGGCAAGCAAATTCTCCTTTTCTTTTACCTCTCAATCCACCTCTTTTCCGTAGCCAGAGTTATTTACCTCCCTAATGGTATCTACACTTAAGCAACCTTTTGCTTCCATCAAGTTAGATGCAGGTCAAGTTGTTGAGTTATGACAATGTAATGTGTTGACATAATGACAACATCGAGTGATATCAATGGCAGTTTTATTCTCATTCCTAGAGCGATTGTCATTGAATCGATGCTACATGAGCTTCCTATCTATTCACGTGTCGCTTCCCTAGCATTCTGCTTTGCTGCAGTATACCACTTCAGAGATTGTTGTTTGCGTAATGCCAACGAGAATGGCAATAATGTGCAAAATCTTTTGTATCTAAACTTCTGAAGACTTGATTTCTTTATATTCTTTTTACAACAATTTGCTGATTAAATGTACTTGGAAAAGACATCCCCCGAATGAACATAATATATAGCATATTTTTAACCGTTCATTAACAATTCCATTATCCTTTTTGTATAAACAATTACATTTTTTAAGTAACTGATATGATAGGACTAACCCATAGCACGAAAGCCTTTGTACTGAAGCGATTAGTGGGATGATATGTGCATACTTGAGAAAGGAAGATGATGTGCGCTGTGGGTGACTCAGCTTGATGAGATGAGCTGAAGCCTCAGACGGGCCTGGCGTGCTTAACGACTTGAGTTTCGCAAAGTCTGTTAATACACATTGTGCATCTTTTAAAGCTTTTCAGAAGCATATTATTAAAGGTAAAGGTTGAATTGTGGATTGTGGATGTAAATATAATTTATGTTGCAGACTAGTTCATGTCGTCATAACAACAAATACTAATACTGGAATGTATATATAGCTTAGTAAATACACCCGTGTGGAAGTTGACGGTCAAATTATGTATTCTTAAACCAGAAATAATTCATCACAAAGGGAGAAAATGATGAAAAACATTTCTACCGTCAAAAGAGCTAAAACCGTATAAAATGCACGTGCTGTTTAATAGCAGATGGGATAGATATAAAATTCATAAGACCATATCAGATTAAAACATGTATGTCTATACAAGAACCTACTAATTACTATAATGACTCCTATAGTAATCTAACCTTTCTCCCAATACGAGTACCTAACGTGGGAAATAAGTAAAAGAAACGTACTATACCGCTAAGTAAGTCTTTATCATGGTTGCACCGGTAGGATCTGAAAGCAGATGTCTCACTAGACTCATTCTCAAGTTATTTGGTGCTATTATGAACATGTAGAAAGCAAATAATAAAAGATCTGTAGAGGAGAGAGAGGAGCCAAGAAATCCCTGCCACATCCTGCGAGGAAAAAACACTACACGATTACTCCACAGTAAAGCAATTTCTACCACAAAATTGGGGAGGGCTGAGAAGGTTTAGGCGACAAGCAATGATGTCAGGTTTGCAACAAGCTGATGCCAGGCTTGCAACTACAAAAGCAATTAATTGGTTGGACTAATCTCAACAAGTAAATTAAATATTAACCTTTGTGCCACAAGGTCAACAGTTATGTACATTTTAGCATAGCACAAATAGAAGAAAAAGGGTTTACAAAATTTGAGGTGTCTCTAGAAGCTTTTAGTAAACCCGAAGTAAATGAATAAAAAAAGTTTTGCCAAGAATTGAGATGGGATAATCATAATCCATCTTATGAATACAAGTTGTTTTTCAGTCAATCCTATTAGAGTTAAATAAACGAATTAGACGTGCGCTTCATTCTAATAATGGTCACCAATGAAGAAGCAAGAATAATGTTTTAAATTTGTGACTTCAATTTCAAATGAACATTGGTCATTGCTACAAATTCTGGTCACTGAAACAACCTCTAATTCTAATGAATCTTAAATTTGTATCATTGTTGACATGGCATTTTGCATCAATCCATAAGCTAGAGATAACTCAAGGTTTTTTAATTAAATCAAGCAGTACGACGACTGACAGAAAAGAAGATTTCAGCATGAGGTGAAGACTGTTCTAGGATATCGACCTCCATCCTCAAGCCAGTTGATGAATGAATAGTGGATCCAATTTGAAAAATATTAAAAGAAAAAACAATCAGATAATCCTAGTTAGCCAAGAATACAGCCTAAAACTTGCAGTTGAGTACGCCTACGGTGTTGCTAAAAGCTCTAACAAGACTTATAGATAGTCCTCTCTCCATAAGCTAACATTTGTAGTTGAATCATCCAATCCATTTCTTGTACGATACACAACCTATTTCTGGTAATATTTAAACTCCTCTTTATATAAATTTATTTTAAGAATTGGATGAATGCATTTCCATCAAGATTAAGACTGAAGCATGATACCTTTACATTTTAATATAAAATGTATTACAAATTAAATTATTGACTAACTTTTTTAATAATAAACGGCAACCCACAAGGCTACCACTTTAATAAAGTCTGGAGGGGCTAGATATACACAACCTTAACCGTGGTGCTTTTGTAATGTTTGAACCCCCAACCTTTACCTCACAAGGTAAAAACTTTAGCATTTCACAAGACTCATCCCCAATTTTGATAATTTTCTTCTTAAAGTAATGAACTATACATATATACAAAATATTAAACTCAAGAATAAAATAAATTTTAATGATAATCAGTATGAATCTTCCGAAGTTGGGTAGGGTGCACTAGATTAAGTACAATATTATTTTGGGTCGATTTGGTTGACATGATATTGTAGGATAATTACCCTATCTTTGTATGATAAATTGTTTAGTGCATCAACAAAATGATATTCTTACGCTATTACCTATCCTATCATGTTAGTACAATATATTTCTTATCCTAACCAACTTGTATTACCGCTAGCTCTCTTATCATGCTCGTCATATTGTCTTTGTCAACGTCACAACTTTCACCACTTTTGTCATTGTATCCCCTCCTACTATCATTGTTGCATCATCACCCCATGTATATTATCTCGATCATCATTGTCATCTTCATCGTAGCAATCACCAATGCTGCTGTCGTTATAGCAATTACTACCACTTCAATCATTATTGTCAAAACTTTTATTTATACTTTTATCATTGTTGTCGTCATCACACTATCATCATGACATCTCTACAGTAGAAACTATCACTAAATTCTCACCTCTACCATTAGCATCATAATTTTGTCATCGTCATTCTCATCACCACTAGCAAACATCATCGCTTCTATCATTGTTACCATAACCTCCATCGTCACTTCTACCATTGATGTTATTACAACCATCACAACTTTCACCATTTTTGTTACTCTCACCACCATTCTCATTGTTAGAGGTCTCAAATCTTCTAAAACTATGGTTAAAATAAAGTATATAAATGGGTGCAGAGTTTACCTAATAAGTTCATTTTGTAATGTTCGGTTCGTATTCTAATATAATATTAAAGTCTATCATAATTAAGTTTGTGTTAGGTTCCTTTGTTTAGGAGACTAAACAGAACACACGCTGTTCTCACAATAATACTCGAAATAGTAGAAGATGAAAGTATGTGTATGTATATTATTGAATCTATAATGTATACCCCGAAGAAAGTACAAGTAAATGTTCCCTAAGGAAGCCTCCCCTTCCTCCATTGACCAAAAGGTCAAGTCTAAATCAAAACAAAATATCTAATTCCCTCCTCACCAACTCAGCCTTTATTTATACTCTCTCTCCCCTAACAAACTAACAAACTTTCCCGCTATTTAATTCCCTAACATTAACTCTCTATCGGTATTAATATATATATATATATATATATATGTATATATATATACCGTTCAGCCCTTACTTCCCCTTTATTCCTCCTCTCATATACTTTTAACTTTCTAACAGTTTGTTAGATCCATCGTATCATTTACTATCAAATTGCTACTAGATCATTCACAAATATTTAACCTACAAGATGTTCAAACCTTTGCTCGAAGGTGGGGTTTTAAAAATCCTACATCATGTAAAAATATAGCTAAAGTACAAATCGTATATAACAAGTGATTTTGTAAGATTGAATTGAGTTCAAATCCAAATTCTAATAGTAAACTATCATCATTGCCGCCATAACTACTTCTATCATAGGTCTTTCCATCATATCGTAGTAAGTGTATTGTCCGGTTAAACTAATTTTCCATTATCCTTCCTCATTAATATTTTTTTCGTTCACAATTCTGAAAAGTATACAATAAAAGATATTTTAGGTCCTCATATCTAGTGCGTAGCTTTGTAGCTTATGACTGAAATAAAAATTCATGTCCTTAAATACATAGCACGTGGAAGTAATTATTCCATCTTTTCTAATAACTTATTCCGTAACCAAAATGTAACTTCTCCACCGTTTCAAATATAGTGTCCTTGTTTGCCTACATTCTGAAAAGCCCGTAAATATTTTTCTCCATCATAGGTGTCGAAGGTTCAGTATAACAAAAGGATTTTCATAAAGTTTTTGTTGGTTCTTGGAATCTTCAACCTAGGTTTCTCAGGCTTTCTCTTAGGACTCTTAGTTTTGATCCAAAATTGCAAAGAAACATGAGAACTCAAGTGTAGCTCCATATATATGATCTACCTGAAGAATATTGGACGCTGTGGATTCTTTGCGCTGTAGCATGATATTAAAGTCTATCATAGTTAAGTTTGTTAGGTCCATCATATCATTCACTATGAAGTTACCACTAGATCCATGTTATATAATATTTGGAAAACATTATAAAGCAAATTCCAAGATATCTACCATGTACATGAGAGAAAATAAGTCATACCAATCAGGTAGGCAGAAGAAAGTACGAAAGAATGTTCGAATTCCCCCAATGTCCAGCTGCACAATTAGAGCTAATCCAAAAAGAAAGAATGCCCTCTGCCTTTTCCTTTCTTGTGGCCAAAGTGTATTCCAAGCTGAAAGAAAAAGAAAATTCAAGATGCTTACTGCAGGTAAAATGATTTAACATGGCCATCAGGTATGAGTGTCAGCTAAAAAGTTTCGGCAATTTACATAACAGTAACTGATTGAGGTATGGGTACGCATGGATGAGACTTACATAAATTCTATACACACGCAATAAAATAGATTGGATTCAAAACTACTTCCATTTAATTATATGATTTTTTGAATTTAGTTCAAATTTGAATTTAGATTAGATAAAATTCATATCGATTTAATTTAAATTAATTTAGTTGTTATACCATTTCACTAAGCAATTAAATTATTTCTCAAGATTAAATTGTTAATTTTGGAAGAGAATGCCGTGACTAATAGATGCAAGTGTAAAATGATTCTAATTGAACTCTTTTGTTTTTTTTTTCCTTTTATTGGTTACTTTTTCCGGTTCCTTAATTACTTTTGTTTACAAAACTTCTTTTTTTGTTTTTTTATCTTGTGACAAATAGGAGCACCTACGTATGGGTATGCCCATTTCCAATATAATGACTTATTGTTAGTTGAAATTTTCTTATTTCCTTTAATATTAGTCTTTAGAAAATAATTTATGTAGTAAACAAAACCTATTTTTAACATAATGCATTGATCGCGGTCCAAACAAATTTTTGAGTAAAAATAAAACCGACAAAAAATTGACTACACAAAATGATTCCTAAGGATTAACATTGATTTTAGATATCTTATTCCAAAAAAACCACTCAATCCATGTCTAATTTAAATTCAAGTAATTGGATGAGATTTAAAATCCAAAAATATAGATTTGGCTTTGAAAGGGATCCATTAAAATGAACTTAAAGTGAATTAGAAAATTGGGTTTGAATATTTGGATTTTTTTAGTAACCCTTAGATTGAGGAAAGAAACAAAATAAACATAGTTTACGCAATGTTGAAAACTGAACAATTTAATATCTAAGGTTGTGATGATGAGTGTACTTGATTACCTTGCATAGACAAATTCTCCTTTCTTCTTTCTTGGGTAATATTGTCCTTGGCATGGCCATCTTTCAAAATATTAGAAATTACTGAAGCATATTTTGGAGCTTCTGACAAAGATCTCACAACGGAGTACCCTATTGGATAAAAACACATATTGAACGTCAATAGATTAAATAAGCATATCCATCAAATGAAAACGTGATGAAGTCGTGCCTGTGGCTGGATGCACCATGCTGGCAGCTGCACCAAATGCAAGGTTCTTTTGTTCTGTGTTTGGTAAGGATCCGCCAACAGGTATATAAGACCATTCCTACATTATACATGAAGGAACTTGTACACATCATATTATTCTTGGAACTCGGAAGCGAAAAACTGAGCTTAAAGATAACATGGGTATGAAGGGAAGAACAGGATTTCAACTCCAAAACTGCACTCAACATGTGTGTTAATATTATATATGAATATATATATATATATATATATATATATATATATATATATATATATATATA